GGCAGAACGCAAACGTTATCCCTCTGCTCACCTGAGACAAATACGTATCTGATTGCTTCCTCTGCCTTGTGTTTATTTTATGTAAAAAACGCAGATTCACTGAGCTAGAGAAATGCATAAGTGACTATTCCTCTACTGCCCTCTCACATGTGAACATCTGATCAGAGACTTAAATTGAATCCAACCTTTTGTCTCTTACCTACCCTCACCTTTTAAAAATTTCTTCCTCTTTCTCTAATATTCAACCTTTTCCCTTTAAATATTGAAGCCCTTAAAATCATCTTTGGAGAAAGGCACCGACCTCTCTCCCAGGTGAACGTCTTTAGCTTTGATAAAATAAACTTCTAAATTGTTTGAGACCTGTCTCAGATAATTTTTGGTTTACAAGTGTTTGGATAAATATATAGTATAACATTTGTACTGTATGATGAAATTAAAGACTTTAATCTCTGAGGCCTTTAGTCGACATCATAGACATTGTGATCACCCATTTGATTGCTTCTGAAGTAGTAGGGCTAAGGAGTTTTGAAATATAAATTTAATTTGTTCACTCTATATTATTATATTAATTTCTAATTGTTTCTAGTTTTTCTGTAGAGTGTCACATACAGTATCAAACTTGTTTACTAAATAAACATTTATAGTTTCATAGGGCTTAAAAATGTTTTGAGTAGGTCAGGCGTGCAGTGGCGTGATTTTGGCTCACTGTAGCCTCTGCATCCTGGATTCAAGTAATTCTCCTGCCTCAGCCTCCCAAGTAGCTGGGACTACAGGCGTGCGCCACCATGCCCAGCTAATTTTTGTAGTTTTAGTAGAGACAGGGTTTCACCCTGTTTGGCCAGGGTGGTCTCGATCTCTTGACCTCGTGATCCACCTGCCTTGGCCTCCCAAAGTGCTGGGATTATAGGTGTGAGCCACCACGCCCGGACTACTACTTCATTTCTACATGTATTTGAGAATGCTACATTTTGCCTAGATCTGGTTTTAGAATTTTATCACTTCCACTATCTTACCTACCTGCATTTCCTTTGGTTCTTTCAAGATGCACATGTACTCTAGAACTTAAAGTATAATAATAAAAAAAAAAAGTAGTTTTAAAAAGAATTATTATTATTTAGTTTTATTAAACCCAAAACGTTACCAAGAATATATATGATGATGCATATTAAGAATATATTATGAGGCTGGGCACAGTGGCTCACACCTGCAATCCCAGCACTTTGGGAGGCCAAGGCAGGTGGATCACAGTATATATATATATATATACTGTTCTTCATGGGAGAAGAACAGTGCTACCTTTGCTTAATCTTCCTGTACTGCCTTTTCCCCCCTCCTTTTGTTTTTTGAGATGAGGTCTTGCTCTGTTGCCCAGGCTGGAGTGCAGTAGCATAAACACAGCACACTGTAGCCTCAACCTCCTGGGCTTAATCAAGTCCTCTTGCCTCAGCCACCTGAGTAGCTGAGACAACAGATGCATGCCACAACACCTGGCTAGTTTTTAAATTTTTTGCAGAGATCAGGTCTTACCTTGCTACCCGGTCTGATCTTGAACTCTTGGGCTCAAGCAATCCTTCCACCTCAGCCTCCCAAAGTGCTAGAATTACAGATGTAAGCCACTGTACCCAGCCTAATCTTCCTGTACTTAAAAAAAAATTAATCAACTGTTTTGTTCTAATTGTTGGGGCTAAGAAAGGAAACAGTAATTGAAGCCTTGTGAGCCAAACATTTCCCTATTCCACAAATATTCCAGATTTTAAAAGTTGATATTATAGTTGCTAGTTAAGAGCAAGAACATTTTCTATGGTATTGTTCTGAGGTAGGGTCTCGCTCTGTTGCCCAAGCTGGAGTGCAGTGGTGCAATCACAGTTCACTGCAGCCTTAACCTCCCAGGCTCAATCAGTCCTCCCATCACAGTCTACCTAATAGCTGGGACTATAGGCTCGAGCCTCCATGCCTGGCTAATTTTTGTATTTCTTTGTAGAGAGGGGATTTTGCCATGTCACCCAGGCTGGTGTCAGACTCCTGGGCTCAAGTGATCCTCCTGCTTCAGCATTCCAAAATGCTAGCTTTACAGGCATGAGCCACTGCGCCAAGCCTAGAACAAGGATATCTATACTATAAATCTTTTTAACAAAAATGTGTCAGGCAAAAAGCAGTTTACAGGCTTCTTCTATGTATGGTGATTTAATTAGTGTGGCATAAAAAATTAAATATGAAGAAAAATACCTGAATTCAGTGCATAATACCAAAACCTGATCATCCCAGGATTCCCCTATTCAAAACTCAAGGCTCTGTGTGACTCAGTCATCACCTTGCACTCATTTTATGAGAAGTGTGTCTGATCAATTACTTGGAAAAATCAGATTTTCAAAGGAATCTGTGACTACAAAACCATTTGAGCACAATGTGTTAATCTTGATTGAGAGTGAGGAGAAGGAACTCAGTTGTGGGCTCCTTTCTCATCTTTAAAACAGCAAAGTCAAGGCATTCCTTCATTCTTTTCCCATGCTGTCTTGAGTATGCCGAAGAGAGCAGTCCTGGTGATCCTGGTGCACTGGAATTTTCACAGCTGTCAAGCAAAAATAAAACACCAATATCAATTTAAAGGAAAACTAAAGTAGAATTTAATGTTGTTGAATGTCCTAACAGTTACACTTATGTTAGAAGCTGAAAGAGAAGCCCAAAAGAATGGTGTCTTAAACACAGTGGAAGTTTATCTTTTTCTCTCAAGTTAGTTTATTTCTCTCTCAAATCAGCAACATCCAAGGCTAGATGGACTAGAGCTTATAGTGGCCCTGCAGCATCATCGGGACCCAGCCAGGCTCTACCATCAGTAACATTGGCTTCCATATCCAGGTTAGCTTCTGGCCCTGTGTGACTCTAAAACATCACCTTGCACTCAAGACTCTCAGCATGAGGAAAGGGAACTGGGGTTCAAATGGAAAGGACTTTTCCATGGAGTCACCTCCCTTCAAGTGGCCTCCTAGATGCCTCATCAATATTCTGCCTACAGTCTTGTTAGCCACACAAAATCCCATGGCCACATAAAACTGCAAGGGAAACTGGGAAATGTCATCCTTTAGCTGGGCACATTACTGCCCTGAAATAAGGATTTCTTTCTTTCTACTACCTTTTTGGTGGTAATGTTTACAAAAGAGAAAAGAAATGTGCTTGTTGGAGTAAGCAACTGGCAATTTCTGTCCTAATGCATGCCGTGCACTGGAGCAAGCCTTAATTAGCACCTGGTGCATGCCCTGGGTGAGGGTTACTTAGATTTTGGCTTTAGCTTGCCTTTTTAGTGTAGGCCTTTAGCAGGACCAATCAGAGATTCTTCACCTTAGGGCCATGATTCCTGAATCTGTATGAGCCGAATTTTGTGAGAAGTGTGCCTGATCAATTAACTGGAAAAATCACATTTTCAAAGGAATCTGTGACTACAAAACCATTTGAGCATGATGTGTTAATGTTGATTGAGAGTGAGGAGCAGGAAGTCAGTTGTGGGCTCTTTTCTCATCTTTAAAACACCAAAGTCAAGGCATTCCCTCATTCTTTTCTGATGTGGTCTTGAGTATGCCAAAGAGGGCGATCCTGATGAAATCATTCACTATTCTCAGTATTGTAAAGTAGTAATAAACTAATGTCTTTGACTAGAAATGAGCAGATTTCTTCCTTATAGTGTGTCCATACCCAGGTTATGGATATTTTGAAAAATATTAAGTTTTTGAATTAGTGTTAAATCACACTAATATATTTTTCATAGAAAAATGGTAACATTAATAGCATGAAAATACTTGGTAAATCTGTTTCAGTATTGAGTCTTCCACACACTAGCTACATGATACTGAGCCTGTATCCTCAGCAATAAAATAATAGTGTCTGCCCCATGGTGTTTAGATAGAATGTGGTGACAGAGGAAAGCCCCCAGCCTCATATCTGAAAACAGAGGTTACATTTAATGTCAGTTCCCCATCTCTTTCAGTAACTTTCAAACAGAAGAGGCTTTTCCCAAATGATGCAGCACGAGGGCCCTGGGTTTACTGATCCTAAGATAGTTTTGTCTAGATCTGAGAACTGTAGATGTAATTACTTTCTGTCCTTGTGTGGAGAGTTCTTTTGGTATTATGGGGTTCTAAACGACTATTATCAAGACAGTATGCAGGAGTTTTTTGAGGCCTCAGATTTTTGAAGGGCGCAGATATAAGGAAAAATTGAGACTAGGATTGTTTTCTGGAGGGAAAGAATTTAAGATAGAAAAGGGCTTAACGGGGAATGCAAGCTGGGAAAACTTCACTGTAGAAAATAAGAGGAAATGGATAGTATATAAATTGACAATTGAAAAGAAATACAAATTTGGTTCTCAACCCTCAACTTCATTTGGAGCTGCCTCAGGCACTACACATAAATTTTTTTTATACCTAAATAATAATGAGACCATCTGTATAGCTGCTGCATAGGTTCAGTGATAATGATTCCTTTTTCTCCTTTTAGTTTTCGATGCTGTATTTTGTCCACATTGTTATCATATGTCTTGCAATTTGATGTTTTCTATCATACACGGAAAACACTGACATTGATACGTAGATGCCAGGACCCTGGGGAAGGGCTGATGGATCACTGATTTGATTTTGTTGTCAGATACAACCAGTAATTAGCTTACCACTTTGAAGAGCGTAAATAGTTTCTTCTTAGTTTAAATCAAAAGAAAATGTAAATTAGCAAAAAGTTTACTAAAATCTGTGATGCCTCTTGATGGAATTGGTTTGTGCATATTATGTAGAGATTGACTAAGAAAAATGATGGCAGCAAGAACCCCAGCTGTGCTATGTAGCTACATAAGGTTGACAAATGCTTTGCTGTTTTTGTCCTTACGGGAAGGGCCTTATGTAAGATCAGCCTGAAAAGTGGTTCTTGGGTGTTATGCAGATACACTGTCAGGTGAAGATGGTGTTTCATATTCTCTTACAAAGCCTGTGACAGCCAACCTTATGTCTGCCTTGCAGGACAGAGGTCAGATCAAGGCCACCCCTTCAGGATGACCTTCCATTCTTTGAGAAGGCCCCAAGCAGACAGATTTCCTTACCAGACTTGTCTCAAGAAGGGCCTCAGCTGAAGACGCCAGCACTGGCAAACGAGGAAGCACTGCAGAAGATTTGCGCTCTCGAAAATGAACTTGCTGCCCTCAGAGCTCAGATCGCCAAAATTGTGACCCAGCAGGAGCAGCAACATCTCAGTGCAGGTTTGTAAGTCCTACATTTGTTAGTTTTAACTTGCAAACTAGAAGTTAGGAGAATGTCACTTTTAAATTAATTAGTAAGTGACAGCAGTTGGGGTTGTTAGAAAACCAGGTGTCAGTCCCCTTTGTATTGTCCAACACAGAACCCAGTCAAGTTTAGACTGCTTGCTTTGAACAGTCTTGGTGCTGTCAGAGAAGATGACTAGGAAGTATCTTTTGGAAAACACTGAAATTCATGCAGTTGAATTGCTACATCATGGATGTTTTCTTTTCTAATGGGAAACTTAGTTGTGTAGGATAATGGAACCAACCATAGCAGACATGAGGCCGTGCCATGGGTTGCCGTCTGCTTAGTGAAAGGAGCCTGGGTTTCTGTGCAGCATGTGTTGGATTGAGTGGCGTTTTCTACCTCCCTGTCTTGAGGCAAGCCCTTGACATCTTACCTCCCTTTCCTGCTCTAAAATAGGGATAATAGTGCCTATGTTACTGAGTTATTGTGAGAATGAATGTGGAAAGTATATAAAATGCCTTTAACACATGGCAACTATTTAATAGTCATTCCTCTTCCTTTTGCACAGAGTAGAACCTGAATTCAAGTCTTCTGGTCTGACACCATTGTGTTTGTTAGTGTGACATTCTCACATTGGGGAGGAAACTGTAGCCTTGAAAACCTAGCCCACTAACCTATTGGCAAGTAGTGGTTATTTTCCTATTGTTCCCAAGGCCTAGAAAGACTCAGTAGTAACCAGCTCTGTCGGATAAAGACAATTACTCTGCCTCTGAGTCACTTGGCTTACACTTCTGGAGTTTAACGTAATCCAGCATGGAAACCTTATATGACCTGAGCACAGCAGAGGTGGGCGGGGTTGAAGGCACTCTGGGTGTTGATGCTGGACTGTGCTTATGCATGCTACTTGCTAAAATCCTCCTGTCCTTTTTCTTGTCTTTAATTGATTTTTCCTTTTGCTTTACCTCCCTCTTCTGGCCAACTGAGAAAGTGCTACCATAAATTTATTTTGAAGTTCTATTTGTAAGCTGAAACTTTTGAGTAAAAATCTTTTACATCAGCACCTCCCCAAAAAATAGTTCAACCAATAGACAACTTTCTAACCTTCAGTTATGCAGAAAGAGGATTTTTAGGTATTTAACTTTATTTTCATGACTCTTAGTTACTTCTTGGCTTAGAGAAAGGGTTTCACTATGTTGCTCAGGCTGGTCTTGAACTCCTGAGCTCAAACGATCTGCCTGCCTTGGCCTTCCAAAGTGCTGGGATTACAGGTGTGAGCCACTGAGCCCAGACCAGTGGAGGCTTTTAATGCTTAATAAGTCTTACATGAAAATATACTTAAAATGAGTCACAGATTTCTCAGAGTTTTCTCCTATCGTTACAATAGTACTGAATGGTCAAACTGTATGTATTGAAGATAAGAGATGTTTTTGCAGTACTTTTTTACATTTTGTTTTATATTTCTGTTACAAGTGATTACAGACCGTGCTACAGTCAAACTTGAAAATTTGATGTCACGAAAACACCTCTGTCAAGTTAAATAGAAATTTTCCACCTGGATAGTTTTGGATTAAATGATACAGTGGCTGAGATTCAGGCATTTCTCATGAAGTAACTGAAACTGTCTTTCTTACATAACTGAGACTTTTAAGGATATTGTTTTTAGGGGTACAAAAATCCTAACATAATTTTGCTTTTAAGAACCGATATTTTCTTTGCTTAATAGCAGTAGGATTAAGTTTGTTTTCCTTTGTTTCCATAGGTGACTTAGATTCTACCACATCTGGTACCATACCACCACCCCCTCCGCCCCCACCACCCCCGCCTCCCCCTCCACTGGGGCTCCACCAAAGCATATCTGCTATTGATCTTATTAAAGAACGAAGAGAGAAAAGAGCCAATGCTAGAAATACTTTGATTAAGAACAATCCAAAGAAACCTGAAATGCCAAATATGCTAGAGATCCTTAAAGATATGAACAGTGTAAAACTTCGGTCAGTCAAGAGGTGAGGATACCTTTACCTTTTTTCTTTCTTCCCCATTTGTTTGTCTAGTAAAACCAAAGTACCAGGCTTCTTGAGAAATTTTGTTTATGACTACCATAATTAAATTTTTAGTTTAAAAAAAACAAGATGATCCCCAGTGGCTTCTATACTCAGTAGCAAAGAGATTAGCAAAATAAGTTCCCAGGTAATAGTTTTAGTTTTCCCATTTCATTTAAATATCAGCCTTTTCATGTAAAGTCTTCACTGCGGTTGCGCATGGGCATTTACTAATTCAGCAGAGGCATGCTGTGTACCACTAAGGCAGTCACTAGACATGCATGGAAGAGGGAATCCTAATTGCCCTGAAGAAGGGCAGAGTCCGTGTTCTGCAGATACATTACGTGGCCCTTTTGGACTCCTGTGTGCTTTTGTTGATCATTAGATCTAGGCTTCCTTCTCTCTGCTAGCAGTATTTATCAGGTCTCTATGGAGTAGCTATGATGCTGGAGAGGTGCTGTCAGGCAAAAGGTTGACAAAGTACTTCCCTGAGCGTGGCCAGTGTATTGACCTGTCCCTTTGGTTTGTGTTCACTTCTCTAAGGTCAGAGCAAGATGTGAAGCCCAAGCCAGTGGATGCTACTGACCCTGCTGCTCTCATAGCAGAGGCCCTGAAAAAGAAATTTGCTTATCGGTATCGAAGTGATAGTCAAGATGAAGTTGAAAAAGGAGTTCCAAAGTCTGAATCAGAGGCCACCTCAGAGAGAGTGTTGGTGAGTTATGTGCCCAGATTTCTTTCCTGTTATGCAGAGATCTACCCCATTGCTAAGCACTTGCATTTTGCAAGTCATTCACCTGTGTCCTCTGTAAGATCCAGATCCAAAGGGAGGTGATAAAAGATTTGGTCCCTGCCTTACAAGTAGATCACAGCTGGCTGGGAAAAGGATGATATCTTTGCTTAGCATTTACACTTTTATTTTTCTAACTATGAAAACAATAGTTGTTCATTTGGAAATTTGAAACTTGTAGAAGAGCATAAATAAGAAAGCAAAAGTTAACCCCTGAGCTCACTACTAAGTAATCTCCAATGTTACATTTTTCTATGCAGGGTTTTTAATTTAAGCATAGTGAAGTGAAATTCAGTTGATTAACAGTTGTATCTTAGGACAGTGTATATTTTGCGATCTAGAAATTCAAAGTAAAGTGATTTTCTTTCAGGGCACCCTGTGAAAGTCTTCTGAATAGGGTGAGATTTGATGTGGGCTTGGATGGATGTGTACCGTGTCAAAGGTGGAAACTGAGTACATTTCATGGAAGCTCTCACATAATAATTAGTACATTTCCTTTATTAACATTACTGTCTTGGGGGGGGGGTGTGCTTATCTATTCCAGAGAGGCAGGTATCTCAGAAATTCTAGCACCTTTGAAACTTTTATTCATTGGAAAGGAAACTTTGTACTTTCTCCCTTTATTCAGAGAAGTAAAATTTAACAAGGAGGGTATTGCTAAGATTATTGTAATTTTCATTCATAGGAAGCAGTTTGGCTATTTCTTTACCTTTCATTCTGTTGATACGTTCTGTGTTTATAACAACCTGTCAATTGGTAAAGATTTTACTATTTTTCATACCCAGCCCTTTGGTCCATGCTTGGGAGTGGAGGGGGGGCGCATATTGTTACTGTTTCTCCTTACCAATATCTTTATTTATATTTTTTGTTTCTAGTTTGGGCCACACATGTTGAAGTCAACAGGAAAAATGAAGGCTTTAATTGAAAATGTATCAGACTCCTAATAGTCAATGAGCTGCAAAAGAGTATCCTGGTTCCCTGTTGGTTTGTGAGGGCTAAGTTTGCTAGTAGAAGTCGACACTATTTAGTAAATACCTGACTTTGGTATTCGGTAGTCTCCTTTTCAGGCTAATTAGAGGCTTAAGCAATAATGAAAGCACTATATGTTTGGTTTTGCTTTAGTGAGATGGTCAGCTTTGGTGCTCTCCACAGCATATGTGTGTTTTGACATGTTTCTAATGTATGGCCAGGGTGTTCAGATTTCTAGTTTTGAAAACAATTGTATAGATTTCACCACACAAAAAGGACATTTGTGGATGTTACTGCACATTTTAAATTCTTAACACTAATTTATCTGTATAAATGTTGTATATGCATATTTTTGGACATAAACAGTTTATGTAAAATTAGTAATGAATGATGGCAATGAGGGCACTGTTATCTTCGTTTGTTTTCAATGATCATTTAGCATTTAATGATGGAACAGCTGGTATAACATAAGTTGTTGGCATGAAATATTTGAGATTGGAAACTTCTTGCCTTGAAGAGAACTTATATTTTAGATTCTCTCTCACATTTTCTTGGAGTTGGGGTTCGAATAGGAACCAGATGATGTTCACTGCTGAAATTCCATAATGCTTCCCATTGAAGGGAAGTAGAGAACCAGGAAAGCTGCTTTCACCTCACTGCCATCCAGTACTGAGGAAGAAAGCTGTAATTTTCCAGTAGTGATGAATCAAATTATTGAATTAAATTTCTCAAGTAAAAATTCAGAATGTACCATCTTGTTTTCTTTCAGTTTACTAAATAGCATCATAAAGATGACTTTGCTAAGTTAGTACCTCTGGAAATGTCAGAATAGAGTTTAAAATTTTTTTTAATATTGGCCAAAACATTAATAGAAAATTGACTTGGCAAATGAATTTTGTATAAATTATCACCAGTCAGAATGCTGTTTTAATTATATTATGCAATATAAACCATGGGTGTTATTAGAAGTAGAGAATTGCCTTTTCCATCTAGGGCTTTTAAGGACTTGATATACATGATCATTTTTTAAATGTCTTATAAATCTTCATGATTTTTCTATTTCTGATACACTCAGCTATAGTTAATACCAGAGTATCCTACCAGGAGTAAATATTTGGATTATTTAAATCTAGTAATAGAAGAAAGTTATAATTCCTGGGAGTATTAGGAGATAGAAGTAGAGATTCACTTCTAAGTTCTTGAAAATATGTGCATTCTCCTAAATATTAACAAAAATGATTTGGGGTAAGGACATGGCTTGCTTATTCGTTTAAATCTGTACTATGGCTTATGTTACACATGTTGATGTTCACCTCTCATTCACCTGTTTGTTTTATATGGTTTAAAATTCTCTTTAACAGAATTCAGAAAATTCACCTGACACATTTTGACTTTCTAAGAAACAAACATATTTTTGTATCAGTATTGAATATTGCACAGTGTCCCTATATAAGGAAGTTACTGTTTTAAAATAAAGCAAACTTTTATTTTCCTTGGACCATAGTGCCTTCATTTTTTCTTTTTTCGCAATAGGTAAGATTCTTTTGCACATAAAGCTCCTTTAATAATTTTCTGTGTTTTTCAAGTGGAATTATATTCCTTAAAATAAGCTCTTAACCTCTCATTCACTTTTTCTCATAAAGGGATCTCAGCATTAAAACAGTCATGAGTTACCTGAGTGGTCTCCGGGTTCTCAAACCCATCATCTACTTCTGGGACTGGTGAACTGTGAGCTTCTCCCACACCCACCTCATTCAGTTTCCTGCTTTGACCTAATACACACCTGAAGTAAAAGATCTTAAAAACAGTTATACTTCAGCTAGGTATGAGAAAGAAAGATAACTAACTTTCCTATGTTTTGTCTCAGTTCTGATTGAGAGACTCTTTTTCCCCAGTCCCAGGCCCTTCTGCCTAAGACTTGCGTCTACCTTCTGTATTAGGAATGCCTGTGTGTCTTTGTCTCTGGTGAAGAGGACTACTACATGTGGTAATAATAACTAGCAGAAACAAATACTTTGGAAAAACTGTAGTTCTGATAACTTCTCCATAAATAGAAGTTCTCTCCGTGGGATAGAATCTGGCAGACAGAAGTTGAAATTTTCAGTTCGCCCAACAAAGTCACCACTGGGATTGCCAGACAGAATGAGACACTTGCTTTCAATTGTAGTAGGTACCATTTCTGTGTCCTCTTTCTGCTTCTCATCCTAGAGATTTAGCATTCTTCTGTGCTACCCTATTGATCCTATTTGTTAGGATTCTTCTTAGACCTGCCCTGTAAACCAGCTGCCCTGTAATAAAAATAGCATAACCAAGTAAGGATCTACAGCTTTTGCACATTTCCCTCCAAGACCATTATCCTTAGTCCACTTCATATGGTCTAGAAGCCTTAATGTTCCTAAAGCTGGAACTTCTCTGATACATTCTCCAGCCCTTTGTTAAGGTCACAGAGGACTCCTTCAATAAGGGTAGAGTAGAACACAAATGTCCTTTAGACATTTTCAGGATGGTAAATGTTAAGACAGCTCAAACAGTGCCTCCTGTTCATACCAAATGGTTATCCCAGAGCAGTCCTTCATAACACAACTGGAAAAGCCTTAATTTGGGGAGAAGGACCAGCCTCTTCGTAACAAGATTTTAACCAAATGTCTTAAAACATTCTGTTGCTACTTGCGGAAGAGAGTTTGGGGGAGATCCAAGATGGCCGAATAGGAACAGCTCTGGAGTGCAGTTCCCAGTGAGAAGAGTGCAGAGGGTGAGTGCTCACCACATTTCCAAACAAGTTTTCGCTGCCCACAGACCAGGAGATTCCCGGGCTGAAAGTTTTCAGCATGGCGATTTTACCTGGTGCCATGTCAGCACACAGAAACTCACAAGAGTCTGGGCGGCTGTTTGAACTGGTGCCTGGAATGCCTGGGAGACAGAGCTGCCCATTCAACTGACAGGGAGGGATGCTGAGACAGGGAGCCAGGCAATGTGGCTCTGCGGGTACCATCTCCACAAAACAAGCAATCTGAAACGCTCTGGATTGAGAGTTGCACAGCAAGTGCAGTGGACCCAGGACCCAAGCTCAGTCAGGGAAGGGCATCCCCCACTACAGAGGCAGTCCGCCACTACCCAGGCACTTCACACAGCAGCTGGGCAGAGCCTGGGGCAGCTCAGCAACACCTCTGCTGGCAGACTGTGATAAGACTACTCTGTGCAGGGCAAGGCATCTGTGAAAAAAGGCAGCAACACAACAGGAACTTACAAATAAAGCCGACCTTCCTAGGACAGAGCACCTGGGAAAAGAGGCGGAAAAGAATTCAGCCACAGCAGACTTAAAGGTACCTGCCCAGCAACTCTGCATGTAACAGTGGAGCTCCCAGCACAACACGAGCTCCTATAAGGGACAGACTGTCTCCTCAGGCAACTCCCTGACCCCTGTATACCCAAAGAGACACCTCATAAAGGAGAGCTCAGGCTGACATCTGGTGGGTACCCTTCTGGGACGAGGATAGCAGAGGAAGAAACCTGCAGCAACCCTTGCTGTTCTGCAGCTTCCCACAGGCGATCCCCAGGCGAGTAGGTTTTGGAGTGGACTTTCAGTGGTTCAACATTAACGAAAAGCACGTCCACTCAGAGATCCCATCCGAAAATCACCAACTACAAAGACCACAGATAGATAAAACCACTAAGATCGGAAGAAACCAGTGCAAAAAGGATGAAAACACCAAAAGCCAGAATGCCTCTCCTCCTCCAAGAGATCACAACTCCTTACCAGCTAGGGATCAAAGATGGATGGAGAATGAATCTGATGAATTGAGAGAAACAGGCTTCAGAATATGGGTAATAACAAACTTCTCAGAGCTAAAAGAACATGTGTTAACCCAATGCAAAGAAACTAAGAACCTAGAAAAAAGGTTAGATGAAATCCTAACTAGAATAAACAGCTTAGAGAAGAATATAAACGACTTGATGGAGCTGAAAAACAGCATGAGAACTTTGCGAAACACAAGTTTCAATAGCCAAATCAACCAAGCAGAAGAAAGGATATCAGAAACTGACGATCAACTCAATGAAATAAAATGAGAAGAATAGAGAAAAAGGAGTAAAAAGAAATGAACAAAGCCTCCAAGAAATATGAGATTATGTGAAAAGACCTAATCTATGTTTGATAGGTGTACCTGAATGTGACAGAGAGAATGAATCTGAGCTGGAAAACACTCTTCAGGATATTATCCAGGAGAAGTTCCCCAACTAAGCAAGGCAGGCCAACATTCAAGTCCAGGAAATACAGAGACCACCACAAAGATACTCCTCAAGAAGAGCATTTCCAAGGCACATAATCATCAGATTCACCAGGATTGAAATGAAGGAAAAATGCTAAGGGCAGCGAGAAAGGTTGAGTTACCCACAAAGGGAAGCCCATCAGACTCACAGCGGATCTCTCAGCAGAAACCCTTACAAGCCAGAAGAGAGTGAGGGCCAATATTCAACATCCTTAAAGAAAAGAACTTTCAACCTAGAATTTCATATCCAGCCAAACTAAGCTTAAAAAGCGAAGGAGAAAGAAAATCCTTTATGGACAAGCAATTGCTGAGAGATTTCGTCACCACCAGGTCTTGCCTTACAAGAGCACCTGAAGCACTAAACAAGGAAAGGAACAACCAGTACCAGCCACTCCAAAAACATACCAAATGGTAAAGACCATCAACACAATGAAGAAAATGTGTCAAGTAATGGGCAAAACATCCAGCTACCATCAAAATGGCAGGATCAGATTCACACATAACAATATTAACCTTAAATGTAAATGGACCAAATGCCCCAGTCAAAAGACACAGACTGGC